GCTGCACCCTGAAAGTTCCGATTCGGCTCAAAATTATAGATTTTGAGACATACTCATTTTGGGTTTCTACGGACTCTCTTATAACTATTTATTCATCGCAAAAGAGCCCCCTAATCTTTTCCCCACATACCTGATATGTTAGTCACAACCACTTCTTCATAAGGTCAATCTATTATTTTCCTTTATCGCCCGTTTTCTCAAAATGCAGTTTTTCTATATACTTTTTTAAAATATCTCCACTATTTTTCATCCAATCTTCATGAACTTCTTACATCTAAGATTTGTCTGTTGAATTTTTCATATACGGACAAGATCTTAAGAGTTTTGGTGGTGGTGTCTGGAGTGTGGATTTTCTTGGAATTTTTGCAAACTTCGTTACTACCTCGGGAAAAAAATTTCTAATCGATTTTTTGTTTTGTTTAGGAAAAATCCAACAAACAAGTTCGGACATCTATTGTCTGCTAACATGCAGGCATAATAATAAACTATTTCCAAAAAAAATTAGTGCGGTATTCATTGTGTCATGGGCAAGCAGCAACTGGCATGCGCTGAACATGTGGAGTCAATTTTCTAAATTTGTGTATGACAGTTCGAGATGTGCCACAACATTGTTTTTGGCATGCTCCCGTTTGGATCTTTTAGTTCTCTCTGTCTTTAAAGACATTAATCAGGGATGAGTATTCACGTCCGATTAAATTTAGATCCTCTCACATAATGAATAGCGCAAGCATAATAACAAGTGATTTTTGTATAGCACAAATTCCCGCTGAACAGCAAGCTCCGTGCTCTATATTCATATAATCTGTTCGTTTGTTTGTTTGTCTCGTTTTGGTAAGTGTTTTACTGCGCTTGCAACTGCATAAGGTCATATGAACGCGCGCGACACACAAAACTTTCAGTTGGTGGGAAAATTTGAATTTTGCCTGGGTGGCGGCCAAAGCTTGTTCTCATCGATTTTAAACCACAAAGGGATCTTTAACGTGCCCGACTTGCACACGGGCCCTCCGAGACTTTTCGCCCTTGTCCGAGAAGGCTAGTACTAAATTTTACACTATGACCTAGTATGGAGTTTTGTGTCCGTTTAGACACTGTTTTTCCGGTCTTAAGTGTTTCTGATAGAATGCAGTCAGAAGAAAGGAAATATTTTGAGCATTTCCGGAAACCCAAGACTTAGAATTATGCCAACTGCGCTATCAGTGTGCTTACACGTTTATAGTAAGAATAATCTTTACTACAGAGAGGGGAGAGGAGGAAAGAATATATATATATAAATATGAGAGAGAGAGAGAGAGAGAGAGAGAGAGAGAGAGAGAGAGAGAGAGAGATACGAGAACGTAACCAAAGCACAGACAATGACACTGACTTCCACTTCATGTTCCACTTTGTCGGTGCTCGACTTCTTTCTCCTTCCAAGTCATCTCTGGCGTTGCCGTTGTAGTTACCGCACAAGCCTAGACGAAAGGGCAAAGGAAGTACATGTTTAACTCAATGGGTCAAACGATAATGACAGTGTGTGTGTGTGAGAGAGAGAGAGA